TTAACGGATAATTTGCCCAGCCCTAGGTGGTACACCAAGCATGTTGGTGATATTAGAAAGGTGATGTACTTAGTGTCCATATAGGCTTAGATGCTATGTCTGCCCCTGGTGATTTGGCATGCTAGGGAGAAACTAGAGCTCTAATGGATGCAAAGCGTAAATATATGCTTTTTTTTTTGTTCACAAAATGTATATCTGCTTGTTATTGCTGATAAATAGCAATACTTTTAGTACATGCATCCACCTATACCATTTTTCATAGGACTGACAGACAATAAGCCAAGGAGACTCTCATAACAGACTTTCATTCTAGTACATGATAATGGATAGAGATGATAAAAAATAACTATTTCAAAACGGAATGGGTCACATTCAAGTGTCAGGAACATGTCAAAATGAACAACGTATCCATCAGTATATGATGAAAATTTGAATGGTTACATTGAGCCATCTTTCTTATCGAATGGATTACTGTGCCTGACTAGCCCAATTGTCTCAATCTCTCTCTTCATATTTTTGGTTTGCGCGACAAAGATGAGCTTTTTCACACCTGACCCTAAAGTGGCTCTGTCCATGAGCTCCTCTTCCAGTGATATACTTGTCAACTAGATTCTCAGTGGCTGCAACAACTCTCAACAAGGACAGACCTTCTTCTTCATCGAGGACATGAGCATCTTCTTTCTCTCCTGGAGGAGGAAAACCAAAAAGCAAAGCCGATACGAATAGAGAGGTCCCAGCTGCTATCTTCCAGGTGCTAAGTTTGGTTTGACATTTGCAAGATCAAGAAAAGCACAATCAATAAAGTGGTGGAGAATCTAAGAATTAAGAATGAATCTCTCTCCAAACACTATGTTAACCACGAATTCTTCACAATCGACTTCATGTATCTTGTTTAGGTATATTTTCATTCTTTTCCAATTCACATTGGTGAAAATCGGACTTAAAATTTAGATTAAGATAAAAAATTTACAAACCTACCATATATGAAGTCAATTACTAATACGAATTTTCACTAACCTAAAGTACATATATGAGAGCTTAGAAACCGATAATGATAATCAAAACCAAAACATATTTAAGAACACAAAACAATGCGAAACATATATAAGATAAACACCAATTTCGTTTATAAGAAAACTACATTAGCCAATTCGATTTAGGAAAGAATTTCAAGTGACGAAAAGGTACATGATTGTCTCTTTTTTGTTTCTTATTCGAAGATACATGCTTTGTGTACTTCACATCTTTCTTGAGTTTAAGACAGGACCAAATTATTGTGTTGTTGTTATGCTCCTTTGATTTAGCAAGTTTAGGTTGAATAAAGTTCATTCAAGATTGATTGCCCCAATGGAATCACATAAAGACACCTCTCCAAAGCCGCAAGGATCTCACACAAAACCACACAACACGGCATAAGTGAATAGTCAGTTGCATAAGACTAAACTCGAAAAAAAAAAACCCAAATACTCAAAAACCGTAGATGTTTAATCTCATTCATACATTGTAAACATATATCCCACCCCATTGAATCTAACTTTTAATTAGAGGTAAATATATGGAATATCGTAAAACAATTATGAGTTAAGGGGAAATTAATAGACATCACTAGACCCAAAGGAATCCAATTAATATGGAGAGATAAATATATTTAGCAAAGAAATCATCAACCGCAAAACATTATTGAAAACAAAAATAACTTAGTGAAAACATTGTCATGTGTGCATTAGATGATTTGCATATATAGATACAATAAATAATAATAGCTTCTCATCGGATATGATTGAAAACAATGAAAATATAATAATCGATGGCACAGACCATCGACGTTCCGTTCTTATTGGCCTTCATGCTCTTCTTATTCTTCGTCATCTTCATAGTATTTGTTTAGGGCCAAAGCCATTACTAAAGGGGAAATAACGAAGATGTGTTTACCAACGTTTATAACAAAGATTTGTGAATGAAACTGTCGAAGATCTAAAACTTCATTCAACTATGTCAAATCTGTTTAGAAATGAATTGATATGCAGTAGATACAACAAAATTAAACCAATCCAAGATTTGGCTACACACTTGATTCCAAAGTTGCAAACCCTAATCGTTTCGGAGGGGAGTCGAAATGGTTGCATCCACCATGTTTTGGAAAGGTTTACCCACGTAGCTACCCTAAATAGACTAAAAGTTGTCGTATTTTGCTAATGTCTTTGGAGCTGCAAGAACTCAAAATACTATTTGAAAAAGTGCAAACTGATTTCTCAAAACTTCTGTACACAACCAATTTTGGATTTAAAATAAAAAAACTTACCCCGATGCTTCTGATCCCTTCATTACTCTATACATTTGCAATCAACAAACATCCTAAAAACAATTCAAAAGAAACGTAAATAACTAATCCTGAACCTATTTGTACTAAATAAATTATTTAAAAATATAAAAATTAACTAATATGGGTAAATTTACGGGTAGTTGTAGTTGAACAGCCTCCACTGTTATCTCCGTTCATCCGGGTAAATCTTCGGTGATGAGTTTTTGGCTGAACATATTGAATAATATTCTATCATCAAGCTATATAGTTAAAGTTTAAAAAAAAAGACTATTTAGTCAACTGATCGATTAATTATTTACAGAG